CCAGTGAAATTTCAGTAACCAATCTACCTGCTAATTTAAAGCTTCTAAAACATAATGTAGCGTTTTCCCTAATTCGGTAATTAACAACAGAAGAATTCTCATGTTCTATAATAATTGATAAAGTTGCACTGTTGCTGTAACTATTTTGACTGTATTATTTCGTGTAAATTGAATTACTTCATCACAGAATGTTTAAAAACCTGACAATGAAGTATTTTTTTACGTCTCAGCTCAAATTACGTCTAATGCAACAAAAAGTATAGGCGCCTAAAACGAATTTTTTTTGCCTATAACTGATTCACGGAGTTAAACTATGGCCCGGTATTTGTCTCACACCAATAACCCGATATTTATAAGCCGGGCTGTGACTCGGGGATTGCATTCAAACAATATAATCCGTTTACTAATTCCGACAAAATCTTTTCTCCCATGTCTGCGACAGTTCCTATGCTAACAACATGTCTGTATTTGTATGTGGTGAATACAATTTTTTGTATACTTCTAATGATTTCGTGAAAGAACTTAGTAGGAATTGTTTTGCTGTTCAGAAATCTAGAACATTCAGATAAACAAATCTCTTGTCCTACTTGTAACTGTCAAAACAATAAAAACGATAAAGCACCAATTTAGGTCCGATACTTGACAACTAGAAAAAGCTGTTACCTGCCTTTATAGAAAAATATCCAACTTACAATTCTAGTGATCATCTAATCTTTTTCCGTGTTGTTTGGCCAAAATTTATAATTTGATTTCCAATCACAGAGATGGGACTTCTCATTATTGCCTTCCAATTTGTATGGGGTGGAATTATATCGATTAGTATTTTCCTAGAACTTCGCTGGAAAATAATTTTATCTGAGCAACACATTCATGTTCCAATAGACTCAATATTTTGTTGCCGGTCCATAAGAAAATGGTCTTTAATTTATCACTCGGCGGCATGAAAAGTTCGGGATCTCAAGACAGAAGGTCGGGAATTCGTTGATGTAGCTCATGCTATTCAACCCGCTGAAGTCATTCGTTGAAGTTGCAAGAAAAAGACTTTTGGATTATGAATGAAAATTTAGTATTGGTTTGTGCCCTCTCCCCGTGAACAGATGCAATACATTTGATAATCATAAGCACCTTTAACACTCTATCAGCAGTCGCTAATTCATATATCCCCACTAATCATAACACCACTAAAATTTGTCGAAAACAGTTGGGTGTGAGGGATTAGACTCGATTTAAGTGCAGCGTAATAACATAATTTATTATAAATGTTATGAGAACAATAGATATAAAGTGAGGTTGCATTCGGTTGCGCTTTATAATCATGGATCAAAAATAACTTTCCCCTCCGTTTTGAGTTTTTCATTTCATTCCAGATAAAATGTAATTCAAACCGAACCATTGACCTTTATAACCTATTGCGGAAAGGTTCAACTAGGTCGAGTATTGCTTGCGACTTTCGAAAGAAAAAAGTCAAATTGGTTTATCGAATGATCAAGTTTCATGATAAAAGCTGACCATAATTGCTGTAGAGTACGATTATCTGCTCGTTTTTGTTATACCAGCAATTTGACAGAATTCAGTATACTGTACTATTAAGCATAACCGTATATTTAATATATACACCTTGAATATATTGTATTCCGTTTTAATTTAAATGAGACAAGTAATCAAATGCAAAAATATCTGTCGATGAATTGGCCCAGGATGAATAAAAGTGTTTGAGTTCAATTTTTGTCCGTGTAACTGACAGGTGGTAAAAGAAAATTTCAGTAAAAAATGGAAAATATTGACCTTTGTCTGCGGACAATTGCTACAGAATTTTGAATATATATAAACTAGATGATTGTTCTCTGTAACATTAAAAACGTATGTAATAACATAATTTTTACCTTGCTATATTATAGTCATACGCAACTTAAAGTCAGTCAGTTGTATGTGGCGAACATTTCAGAATACGGAATTTTATCGCGAGTTTCCAGCACTTTGTTAAGTAAAATTGAGATGCAGTGACGGAAATTTGCATCTGTGTTTCTTTTTAAATTCACGTGCAAATATAACTAAGGAACGGGCTCGACTCGACTACGCCATTCATTTTTTTCTGAATAGTCATCCATTGCCACTCCTCAATCCAAAACGAAGTAAGTTGGGTGGAATATCCTTACCAATTTGCAAAACAACATTCACTTAATTGATATTAATTTTAAAATCGATATTTGCAGTTTTTTATCAGAAACATTTTAGAATTAAGGTTTTCAAGAAAATTTATTTCGAATTATAACTCTGCGCCACCAGTTGTATATGTGGGCTGACTGTATCTAGTAATTAAAGAATAAATTCACGGCACCGACGGTATCCATCAAGTAATTGCTATTGGACTTTGTTGTAAATAGATACTCATATACAAATAAATATAGATGTGAATTTTTTCTTATTTATGCATCTGTACATACGTACAGCCATTCTTGTAAATTATACTCTAAAACTAGTCGCAGTGAAAATATTCCCCTCACATATTTTTCTAACAGCTTATCTACCGGATATTGGTTGAACGTACGATTAAGTCGCGTGGCTACTTCCCAAAGTAGTCTGGTTATATGAAATACCGATTATTGTAGAACTACCGGGCTATCATTCGTTATAATCTCTTTACGTCCAGGAAGTTTATTATCTGATTCAATTTAGAAAGTCATTTTATACCTTAAGATCGTTCAAACAACATATTGCCGAACGTCAATATTGCTAATTTAATTGAGTGTATGCAAGAAGATATCCTATTGGTTGATTGATAAATATAAAGATTTTTGCTGGGGCTTGAATGTAGGTTTCATATAGCGATGTCTTATTTCATTTTGTGGACACAGTCATCACACTGGTACTTCTCGTGAAGTTTTTACATGTCCATTAAAGTTGTTGTTATTTTTGACCCAGAATGCGGTTTCCATGTGTCAGCATTTTATTGTAATTTGAACGTCAATTTCAGCATCTTTTCTCTTTTCAGTGTTACATAAACATGTTTTCTAGTCACAACTGTTCATGACCGGACAAGAATATGACATTTCGCCATATGCCTAAAAAGAAAATTGTCGAACTCCCAGATTAAAATCTCAACCAGATTTAAGTAGTTTCTATGTAATAATACCGATCAGATCAAAATATGTATTTTAGATCAAAATATTATGTGTTGAAATGTATTCGCACGAAAATAATATAACCTTTGAATTGAAGAAATACTCATTCGCCTATATAGTTTATGCATATTGAATCTTATTCCTCGCGAGGTACTTTAAAAACGATTTTGTTGACTGGGGATAAATTTGTTGTTTATTATTTTATAGTCAATTATTTCTAACTTGACGCGCTTTAAACGTTTTTTCCTAACCTGTGAGTTTCGAAAGTAATTTATGTTAGGTATTCCCAAAGCATTTATAAGATAAGCATTTACGACTAAAAATAAAAGGAAAATAGTTTGATATTATTTGAAATTGGTTATTTTTTGAATACTATCAATCTTTTTGTTGGAACGCTTTGTACCGACATATGCTGTTATATTACTGTTCATATAGGGATGGACCTACAACAAGGCTAATCCGCTCATTGTTTGTAATGTGGCCGCGCAGTTGTCGTGAAGGTGTTCCTGTAGGTTCACTGGTTTGACAGCTTCGTAACAATAAAGTTGGGCTATATAACGTTCCGAGCGTGTATATACCGGTTATGTTTATTTCAGACTTTTTTATTTATTTTTCAAGACGCCTTAGAAAAGCCTGCACTTCATTGTCGCTTTAGCCACTTATAGTATGGTACCAAAGCATGGACAAACAATGGTGTAAGGCTGCCATTATAAATTGTAATCATAGTTCAAACTTTCGAGATAGACGTCGTTTTGGGCTTTGCGTCTGGGAACGATGTCGTAATAGCTATGTGACCTGCTATTAGACGAGGGTTGTAACCACATTCGAATCACTGCTGTAAAAAGTAATTGCGTTCAGCATTCGATCATTGCCTAAGGTCTCGAACATGAAGTATCGTTTTATCAGGCAGCAAAGCGAGAAAGAATTACGACAAATGTGTCGAAAGGCAGAGAGGAAGCTGTAAATGATAATAAACTTTGTGAAACAGACTGTCGGTATCCGGAAAGTTGACTTTAGGAGGCAACTTAGGTGAGGGTGTATATTTTGAATTCTTGTTTGTAAACTAATCATAGAATACAGTCAGCACCAGATTGCCTTAACTTTAAGAGCGAGCCTATGGAAAATGCGACAGACACAACACGCGGTCGCACAGGTAGCAGTGACCTAAAGCAGGCCTTGGTCAACGTCAATGAGATAAACCGAAATGTAAGCTTTAAAATTAGTCTCATTAGACCGCAAATCAAAATAGAATGGTTGCAGTTGCTCAGTGACAAAATGTTGGCAAGAATTATTACACAGAATGTTACGCTTAATCACGAATTAGTTTTGTGTAGTTTTATATTCCGTCAATCTTCGCGGTGGTCTAGCTTCAACGAAAATGTTTATTTATAGTGGTTGATGACTTCCAACCACGTGTTTGTTGTGTCCTACTATACAACATAAATGTATCAAAATGTTTCACGAGAGATACTTGAATTGTAATGATATTTTCACTTTATCAAAATTATAATATACTAATGAATGAGTATAGATGGTCAAGTTTTGAATTACGCTCTTAATCACGAGAATTTATTTCGTATTGACTCTATCGTTTAAAATGAAAAAAAATTATAGAATGTATTAAAACTTTCGGGATGCAGACAATTGCAACATTTTGTTAATATTTATTTTTTTCCCAGCGACACAGAGTCGGTCTCAATTAACCGAGTTCATCAGTATTTTGAGATCAGACTGTTGAACTTAAAGACGATTATGGTGAGCACGATATAAATGCGTAAGATGGCTTGTAATGTCATTCAGAGTGGCAATTAAACAGACATTTTATAGACTATGTTGGATAATTTTCGCTAATTTATATAATAACACCTTTCGAGCAAAATCTTTTTTTCGGCATGACCAGTCTATTCGCTGTACATTGGCATTACCAATAGTCAATTTTTTTGTTTAAAAATAAGTTACATATTTTAAACCATACAATTAAGAAAATTTGATTTAATATTGGAAAATTTGACATGGATATAATTTACTTGGCTTAATTAGGTATAAATAGGATATATGACTAAGATACAATTATTGCTGCCGAACACTGTAATTAATTTTCCTAATTTTCGCGAGAAAAAAGTTTTATTCGTTAAAGATGGCCCGACAGTTGAGAAGCGCGTTTTTTTGTAAATGTAGCACTTAGGCTGTCTAGCATATGTCTTCCTGATTTCACGTAAACATAAATAATTGAAATTTGGCTTGTTGGTGTATTTCTATAAAGATAGTTGGTCAAGATTGACCTGAGTCTGATTTGTAAAATATCATTGAACTTGCTTGGCCTAGGCTATGTCATGAGTAACATGGTCATGCAAATCTACTGCCTAGTTTAAAAACAGAGTCCGATATATATGACAGGAAGACTATTGATTTTGTAGGAAGCTTTATTTGTTGGGCTTGTGGCAATCAGTTAGAATTGAGTTTTCAATGTTGTAATGATCATTCTCTGTTTGCTAAAAAGGAATTCAGACATACACAGTCACTTACCGAAAAAATTTTAATTGAAATATTTTTGTTTTCTAAAAACTAATATAAAATGAATTTTAAAATATTCTAACAATAATCCGCGGAAATCTGTGTCATAACATCTCATAGCTCCAGGCGTCAGTCGTAGTAACCAAATACAATTGTGGCATTTCATATAGCCTTTGTACGAGATGACTTTTTGGCCGACGTGAGCCTAATTCGGACAATTTGAACTCGTTCCGAATGCTGAGAGGATTATAGGAATCATTTGCATTTTATTTCTTGTTGGGAAATCGTTGGATTTTGTTTATTGATAATGATTGGGGGTGACACTAAAACGCTATAAGAGAGAGAAGAGAGAGATTTCTTGTTTCGTCAACCAGAAAACAAGCAATGGCAAAATATATATACAATAAAATATATATGTCATTTTTAGCAAACTTAGGAGCTTTATTTTGAATCAACATTAAACATATTTATCGATTAAACATCGATTATTAACAAGAATCTATTAGTATATTGCCGTTTAGTATTGACTCTCTAGCCTAGACATATCAGTCCTATGAGCGATTCAAATGTTTTAATTGTGCGCGAAAAATCCGCTCTACCACGCGACGTAATCTTAATTTAAAAAGCCAAATGTTATAAAATGTTGGTCGTACGGCTTATTCATTGGTACGTAGTTATTTAACGGGTGTGTTTAAAGACGGTGTGCTATAAAACGGGTTCTGTATTTCATATCTGAAAACCAAAGCAAATAATGCGTCATAAAAAATCTGCAAAAGTAAAGTTTGTAGCACCAAAGATAGAGGTCATATAATAGCTTGAGGCTCAAACGTCCATCTAAAATTTATTAACAAAAGAATACTAATTAAGTTTTGATATTATTATTACGGTACTAAACTAAGGTGAATCAGTATTATTTTGTTTGTTTTGATTGTCATAAGATTTGAAAAAATTGATAATAAATTAATTAGAAAATGTTAGATTTTTTTCCAAGTAAAGCAGTGATTTTGCGTCAGAGGTGACGCTTGTGACCGGTCTCATCTGGAACCGGCTCAAACCTGTCAGGTAAATAGTGGAATATTTGCTAAATGAACAAATTCTTATAACAAAGATTGTTGCTAATAGGAAACAAACACTTTTGTTGAACTTTATTAGAAAATTTTCCTTCATTCAAAAATGTAAATTACTTTATAACGCCACTGACATCCTTATGGTAAATGGCATGTCGCTACTTTTGTCGTTCCAGTTGGCGATTTCGTTGGCGTGTTTAATGAAACTTTTAACAAATGCGAAGCAATATCGTGTCAGTAGCAAGACAAGGATTGGAAATCTGGTGTCTTAGTTTGAAATACCACAATAATCATTTAGCAGTTTAGTTGATTTCATGTGAGGTTGTTGAGGGAAAATTCTATGCTGTTTGTGCGAAAGATTATCGTTTTATCGATATGAAATGAACTGTATATCGTAGTGATAACTGAACAAAGCCATTTTATATTTGGTATAGGAAAACCGAAAGAGTGAAGAACAAATACGGACAGCTAGTCTGTGTCAATACGAATGCTGCATTGTTCGACTGTAATTTTGTTAGCTTCAAAAACAACAAGGTCTCAAAAATACTGAATAAGGCTAACGCCAATAACTGATGTGCGTAATAGTTTTTATTCGGAATATATAAATAGTGTCGCACGCGGCAAATAAGGAATCTATGGATGGGTGTTGGATCATATTCTCTGACTTTAATACACCGCCGTACAATGTATAATACCATATGACGATAAGGATGTATATATAGGATCGAAGAAGTATAGATACAAATGCCTGAAAACAATGATTTGTTGATGGGGGTAGATTCGATCTATTATCGGAATTGAAGTAATATATAAATACATCTATGTATAAAGTTACAATTGTTAACCTGATGAAAAATTATGAAATTTATTCTCTCATTCAAAATTGAACTTTGTGTAAAATGTACTTTGATGTCACAGATCAACAATGATAACGATTTAGAAATGTAATAACTCGATAATATGACGCCGATCAAAAAATAACACCAGAACGACACACAAAACTGAACAAAAAGATCCAAATTGCGGAGATAAGAAAGAAAATTTGTCTCAAAATACTTCTCGAAGGTGCGTATACAGCATGTACTAGGTACCGGTATCAATTTGTGCGGAATTACCATTATCGATATATGGAGACATAATTATACATAATATACACCCATTACTTTTTTCATCTGTTTCGATTATTGGGTACAGTCGTGAGTATTTACTGATAAAAATTTGCACCACTGCTGGAGGTAATGGCTAAGTCGATTGACTAAGTAAAAGGTTTATACTAAGTTTAGTACTAAATGTTCTTAGTTTGGCGCAATATGAAATGATTTTTGTATAATTATGCATTTTTTCTAAATGGCAATATTCTGCAATTTGAGGTGTGAGATTAATAACGGCGCCGGCATAATTTAATTTTGTCACCAAGGTATTTGCTCGACAGGCAGTAGTTATCAATAAAATTGATGAAATGCAACCATATATGTGAAGTTTATTAATAACTTCTGTCGTTGAAATACCACAACGTATTGAATTCCGTTACCGTGAACCTTTACATCGTGGTCGTTGTTCGCATACGACACCAAAAATGAAATTCGATCTTTGTCGCTCTGCCGAATATACACTATGGAAAATATCAGAAAATGTCGATGAAATTTAACGACATTTGAAGCGATTAATACTGTCCGTTCGACCAAGTAGTCACTTTAGATAGAGCAACAGTTATCTTTATCCAACCAGCAATGTGTATAATGAGATTAGATGAAAAATAAGTTATATATTAATATTTAAATGTAAAGTAAACAATACAGTCTTTATCTGAAATAGGAATGGTAACGCGATACCATAAAAGAATATCTTAATATAAAAAAAGATTTAATGAAATATATGTCTGGTACAAACTAATTTTCCTGCAAAATGTGCGTCGTTCAAGATTTTTCCTGAAATTTTATCCTGTATTGTACACGTTGCATTGTTTCTTGTTCAGACGACGCATGAGACCAAACGACATCATGACGAGGCAACGATGGGGAGCAGGATCAACAGATAGCAGTAAGTAAAATTGTTCTATTTTCATGCAAACTTTTTGACGGCTCCGAAAATGCTAAATAAAAAGATTTGTAATGCAAAATGAGGTATTGGGCAATGAATAATTGGACATTTATTGCAAATGAGATTAACATGATAATATTCTCTGCCAAAAATTATAAATATCAATTTACGATAAGGTTAAGTTACCTATGAAACTATGATAGGTGTACTGCTTCCAAGAAGAAAAATTTTCGATAGCGACTTGAATATGCGTATGTAAAAATTTTGTGATATCCGTATAAACTTGAAGTTATATCATATTAATTGGGCGCGAGCTCAAATGTAATGTAATATCTTCTGAATTTCAAAACTTCCTGGCGAATACCGGCATAAATTTCATATTCCGTTTCAAGATTTATTTTAAAAATGAATATATTAGCTAATAGGTAAAGTTTAAACGAAGTCGATCCCAACCTGTGCATTACACCTTCTTATTTTACAATTCGTTCACAACTCCGTTCAATTAATGCACATCTATTAGATTTTGGCAGCAGGCTTCCCTTTTTTCTGAGTGATTCAAGTGTCTTGCTGCACACTAACACAAATATATTTTATTTAGGGGAAAAATTTGCCGTTCATGAACGCTATTTTAAAATATTTACTGGCCCCGGCTTCAATATACTTGGAAAATGGGCGAACTTTTACAGATTCCCTTTTCATCATAAAGCTTTTTGCATGTTCTCCCACGTTTACAAAACTGCACTGCCCATAAACACGAATAATAGGAAACGAATTGATACAAATTTTCAACAAGGTCTGAGATATTATATCTCCAAAATCCATTGTATATTTTAATCATTGTAAGCGCACAAAATTAAACCAAATGAATTGATGTACGATGTATAACTTTATAGGCTCGGTACATTTCGTTTGATTACGCAGAGCCCTGCCTCTCGAATAAACATAATTAGACATTTCATAAATATTTGAGAGTCTTAGAACAGAGTAATATTAGTTCACGGTGTATATTACGCGGTAAAAATAGACAATTTATATTTGTAAAACCCACTGTGGACAAGAAAGTCACTTGAAATCTTGTACAAACTACCAAGTGGAATTATCGGGAATTTTCTCAATAAAATCTCAAGAAGATTGGGTTCTATTGAGAAAATGACACCTTTATTAAGGTAATTGAAAAGAATGCTAAGCAACAGCTTAAGTCTGCAAGTATACGAAAAGAATATAATAATAACTTCTCATCAAATAGATGGGAGATATTGCTGAGTAATAGACAATGAACATACTCATGACCCCGTGGATTTTATAAAGCTGCTATAAAACAAAATAAAATAATATTGACTCAATTAAAAATGTTGTTTCTGTTAGCTTCATTATTAACGAGCGCCGTTACTCAAATATGACAAAACGTGACAAAAAACTTCGTTTATTACATATTTATAGACGAACTTCGTCGCACTGAGTTCTGAACAGCCTACCTTTTCATTGCCATTTGGATATATTATGCGACTTCAGACATAAAAACTTCTATTGAATAAATTTATTTTAAAGTTATTTAGCTCTTCATCGTTTATTCAGGTGTTTTATTTTAAACAGGTGAAGACTGCAGTTCTTTGGACGATGACCCTTTAATTGTAAGTGTACATTTATTAACGGAACCCGAATCTACGAGCAGTGTAAGAAAACATTATCAAGGAATGGTGGACATGTTGGATTCCGATCTCCAAGTCATATGCGTATCAGACAAGAACGAAATTCGGGAGATTGCAGGGAAATTCTCAAAGGTAACTGTTTAAATAATTATTCTCTTCTGGAAAATTTTAAGATTTTGTTTGGATTTGGAGTGATAGTGAACATTTTATGGAAATCTAATTGTTATACCATTCTTATCTGAGTACAGTATCTTAATTGAAAATAGGAAGCGTTGAGATAATTACTAATTTCCTCCAAGAGCTATTCAATAAATCAGACGGATTTCGCCAGCAAAATAAATTTGTACATACCGATAATATGTAATTAATATGATACGGTAAATTAATCCGTAATATTACAACATAAGGCGTTCCAGTAACTGACCGGTATAATCCGACATGCGACTCTTGCGATTATGACGTTTTGACATTGTTTCTATATATGCTATATATTTCTGTAAAAACGCCTTCCAGTAATACGGAAAATATTTTTGCTGGCGATTTTATTCCTAGTATTAAAGATTTGTTATGGCTACTATATTAAAATGAGATTTAGATACCTCAATTAGTAACCCATCAGATTCGATATATATATATATATAGTTAGTCGTTCATTCACTGCAAAAATGGTTATCACAGAGTATAATCCAACATATTTATTGTCATTTACACTGATATTTTTTTTAAATGTCAAACATAAAATAGAACAAAAGAGTTGAACGAAACGGTCGGAAGTGTTGGTATTGATGATCATTAAAAATGGTAGTTTTCGATACTTTAATGTTACTAAGTTAAGCCAATTTGATAGAAAATAATTCTACAAAAAATGCTACACAACTCTGATGCCTTTCGTAATTTCATTGTTATTCTTCGAAAATGGCGCCTCGAGTAATATAAAACACTAATAATTGACTCCTCTGATGGCGAACAAAGACCTTTGAATTTTAAGTAATCCTTTAAAACGGAATACAAATTAACGCCGATATTTTCATTTTTTTGCTGGTGACAGTTAAATTTAGAAACCCAAATTAAAGTGTCGTCGTCAATAAAGAGCACTTGACTGTCTTGTTAAACGTACTTCAATAAAAAGTAAAATCTAGACTTTCGAGAGGACTATAAAGGACATAAGGTCCATGCGTGTATTGTCAAAACTTGCGATAGACGCAGAAGGGTGTCACAAGAAAGAACTCGTGATGGAAATGACATTGTTTTTATTCTATTGCCATAACACTTACAAAAATGATGCTTGTTATTCTCACTTCTTTCGTTCAGCACAGTGATTATAACTTAATGCTCTTTGGTTTTTATGATGGGTGTTTTGGTACTGTATTTAATTGGTTATAATTAGATGGCGGTGAGCAGTCGTGGAGAATTTACTCAGTTGTAAATATCATTAAACAGACGACGAGCTAGTATAAATGGCGCCAAGTGCTATTGTTAATCTTGAAATACCTATAAAGGTTAACGTCACGACCATCATAAAATTACTTCCAGTTTTCTTCTATAAGACTTAATTATCGTTTTATCGGGAATATTTTGAAAGATAGATCAGTATCGACGGCATATTAGGATATTTTTGTGACGACTGTGTATTAGCAAGATTGCATTTCTGATATAATGATCAGTATTTCCGGATCACAGACAGTTTTATGTTACATACTGTTATTTTCAGAAACATATATCCATCACATAACGAAATATTTGAATGATAGGCATATCATCAGGTTTTTAAAATGAATCAGAAGACCATAACAATTTCCTTTTACAGATAACAAACAGTTAAGATGCATACCTTTGTGCATCTGCCCAAACTTGTATCTTCATTCTTACTTTTTACTATTCTTATAAATTATATCTTCGATGCACGCGTTGCCCTTTTTACTCATAGCCATCCATGTCAAACCTCAAAGTCATATAAGCACCAATGCGCAAATTTAAGGTATGTGACAGACACGCAAGATGCAACATAAAATATGATCATTTTTGTCGTTTCGACACTTAAAACAAACTTTGCATTCGTTGAGATCTTATCAATTCCATTCAGATACCGTCATCAGACGTCGAGATTCCCTGCCTCGCAACCGTACTATTTTTCAACGGTGATCAGCAACACCATCAAACGACTAAACACCGAAAAACAGCTGCACATCGATTAAACGGATTTAGTAAACCCGATTTATTGTTAAATCACATGTGGAATGGCAGATCCGATGTGTTCAATGTAGAACGCGATTTCGGAAACATGTTAGACGTCAAAAGTAATGACGTCACACACGGAAGGCACACTCCGTTTATTATTTGTGAGGACCAAAAATGGGATAATAATAACAGAAAAGTGCCAAGTTCGAATGTCACATCGCCATTTCTTCGTTATGATGAAATTCTAAAAGAAAGTGAAGAGAATGAGCAAAGTCATATCGAACTTCGAGAAAAAGATATCGGGTTCAGGAAACAGATATTTGATTTTGAAATGGCAGAAACTGCATTAGAAGCAAGAAAACAACTGGAAACTTGGCCATGGGAATTCCATCACAAGTATGATTTAACTTTTAATGATTATCTCTGTTTATGGAGATTAGCCTTAACAGCCAGTAGAGGCTAAACAAAATATGAATGTAACATGGAGATCATCTTGAAAGATATCACGGAAAAATATATTCGAAATGCTAGTTGTAACGATTGCAAGACACAGGTTTTTAGATGTTATGAACATATGCATTGGAAAAAATTACACTCATTCCCGTCAAGATGAGATATCCGAGATGAAACTATCGCGAATTTGAAAATATACTCCAAAACAAACGGTTATTGCGCCACAATTTGTTCGACACCAGCAATCAAAACGCAAATAAGAGCATTAAACATTCCTACCCGTGTAAGATTACAAACAACAAAAAAACAAACGCCTGTTCAGTGTTGATAGAATGTTAAATTATGTAATTGATTATAATATAATAATGGTTCTCATGAAATACGATGCCACGCAAAGGTTTAATCTTATAGCCGCCTGTGACACAATACGACGAGCAACCAATTCCCAACAATTTTGTCTACAAGCTCAAAGTAAACACAAATAATTGTACCAGTACTTGTTCCACCATTATAGCGCATAAAGAAATTTGTAACACACGAAAAAAATTTGTAACACACATAAAAAATTGTTCGGTTTCGCGCATAATTTTAACGTTAAATGGATGCTTATATACTTATGATCTATTCCGATAAATTGAAATCACATAACTTGCTTATGCCCTGTTGGCGACCCCTGGCTTTATCTTCTATCGAATTCCTTTTTACAAACGGGTAATGCAAATGTCGTAACGCATTTTTGCTAATAGTAAATATGTGTATGTTATATAAATCATTTGCATGTGTCAGGGAGAAATGTCATGCCGATAGACGATTATAAACACATTTACAACGAACAGACAATGCTCAAATACATGGTCGACCCCATAGATACCGTTAGGGACCTAGCTAAACAACGAGTTCACCGAAAAGGTTAAGCGTGATAAACTAAATTGTTCCCATAATTCAAAATAAAACTTAGGATAGATATCCGATATAAATATCGGGCAGTAGTCCTATAGGAATACCAAATATAAAATAGAGATTTTTTTTCATATTGGGAATATAGGCAACAATTGCCCCAATAGTAATTACAGTATTCAGCAAAACAATTCAGATGCACAGTTCGTGTACAAGGCATATAGTACAATTCTAACACGATGAAAAAGATTTCGTCGTTTTCTTCAAAACTGAACAGTACAGTTTTGTGGTTAATTTTGCTGTCTATCAACAAAGCACTATTTCAATGAGTTTTATATTTTTCAGGGCAAACGTTTCAAAAGGCATTACGCAATGCCAAACCAACTCGCAGGACTTCTACGAGTATCAACCTGATCGCGATGTTACGAGGCTATATGGCGACGTTATCGACACATCAAAAATATCGCGAAGGAGAAACTTGATGGGTGCTTATAATGATGCGGATACTTTCGTCAACTTGGTGGAGGAAACAACAGATGAGTTAAGAGAGAGGTCGAGGGGGAGAAAAAAAAAGCAAATAACCACGACCGATTTTCCTCTCATGGCAGTGAGAGAGGTTCACTATGGAAAACAGCACCTTCGTTACACGTTGTTCGTTAGCTCTGCCTCGTGGATCGATCAAGTCGAATTTTATCGTCTACTGCTTCGACGACATGAAGTGACATTGCGCGACGATTTTTGTTTTTTCACAATCTATTACGGCGAAAACACTGACATTCAGTTTGCATTAAAAAGACTGGCCCCCAACCAGCGTCCCGTTCCGTTGGGTTCTTCTATTCTACAGTTCAAAGTTCACAAAGTCGGACATTTGGTGCCGCTGTTGCCACACGCTTGTAAGCCTATAAGTGACATTAGATGGCAAACAAAAGACCACGACGGAAATTCGCTGCTGCTGCAAATATGCCATGTTCCGTCTGTTAGCGATACATCAAGTTCTCAATGCGAAAGAGAAATTCATCCACTTGATGACGCCGTGGCGTCGCCTTCTGAAGTGAAACACAGTAGTGATGAAGACAACGAATTTTCCCTAGAACGATTAGATAGTTTTATAGAACCTGAGCTGCCAGCTAGAATGCCATTGTTGACCCCAACGTTATATACAAACCCAACAGGCCGATCGCGTTTTGGTTCTCGTACTACCAGCTCTCTATCGCCTGGTTCTAGTTCGTCGAACTCGCCTGAAAGAAGGCCCCGGCGTTTTGGAGCTTATACACCAAGAGTATTTTCAGGGTCATCTTACGAATCTGCATTTGGTTCCACCAACACATTGCCCAATCCTAGACACACTTCTAAATCTGGATCTTCAAGTTGGACTTCGCGGATATCCGAATCAAGCGATGAACCAGAAAATACAAATTTTTACAGACGCGCCAAGTTTAAAAAAGATGTCCGCCGAAAAAGCGACGGAACGCTACAACCACGTCAAAAATCCAGACCAAAGTCGTCATCTAGGACTCCTAACCATAATAAACAATATAGTAATAATCATCGATATAGGTCATCTTCAAAAAATAGAAAGTCGCAAGATGCTGTGGAGGAAGAAGTAGAAGTTTATGTTTAGGCTGTATCCATGTACCTTATTTGTTCCCTTTTGTTTATTATCTAAACTTACTTGCAGTTTTTATATCTTTCTTTTCACTTATCGAATATTGGTATTTTTTTTACACTTTCTTTTGTTTTTGAACATTCCATTGTACAATTCAACTGCTCATTAACGTTGTCCTGAATTTATCTGGAATTGGGAAAATTGAGGATCAATTTATTGGCATATATTTAGAATAAAAATGTCACCACGATATGATTTTCAATATAATTTTACTTGCCGGGGAAGCTCTTGAATTCATTTTTTGAAAGAAAACTTTTCAGTTTGAATGGAAATGTAAAGAATCTCATTAATGATGCGTCTCACCGAATGATATACAGGAAACCAAGGGAAGCAATAAGTCGATTTTACAGATGCTGTAGCATAATTTCGTTTCCATATTTAAGCGTTCAATAACTGTTTGGTCATACCTGTTTAAAATGGTAGGCACAAATTAATCTCATTTGCAGAGAAGAGGTGGTGGAAAAAAGGGAGCAAAATTGGTCTATAACCACACCAGAATGGCGCAATCTTGAATATATTCACCATCATACCACAAAGCTGAGTTTATTGGTTTCAAATATACACCAACAAGGACAACACTTGTGTGGTATATTTTCATAGAATTTTTCCAAAGATAGATTGCTAGCAATCAAAGCACTTTCAGTTAGAAACTATTACAAAACACCATCAATTTAGTCATCCTTACTTGCTCAAAGTTGCATTCCTAATATGTGCAAGAAATAAATCTTATTCCTATTATAAAATCGCCCAATAACCAACCAGCCAATAGTCATAAGAAGAGTTTTAGGCAGGACAGCACTGCTTTTATGGTTTATTGTTCTTTGTTTTGTGCCACATGAATCATGGCGTGATTTTTTGTTTAGAGACTGAGACAATGCTGGTTGCTTTGGGTATAATAAACATTTGTTTAAGACGCCCAAGTATATTACGGATATACCAACAGAAACATCATGAAGTGCTATACACTCTGCAGTGGAGGTAAGCGCGAGTAAGCTCGACATTGCAACATAACAATGTGTACGTTGAATACAATCCGTTTAACAAGTTAAAAATATTAATAAAAATGGCCAAAATGCTAAACAAGACAATTAAAGAGTAGATAATAGACAACCTTTTGTATATGTATACTCAGCAATGAAATAAAAGTGTTTCCACTAATATCCAATTTCACAAACAATTAATATTCTTTAATATTTAAACAAAAATTAAACCCTCGTATAGTAAATTTATTTCAATCAAAGGGTATAGATGATATAAGTTATTATATGTAACAATTTTATCATTCTTATAATATTTTTCTTCGTTTTGTATTATGAAATAGAACTCATATGCACCTATATGGGACCAGTTTCACAAAGGACGTAAATAATCTGCAGCGATCTGATAAAATGCTTCTTTCTGATGAAAAGCTTAGATCTGTTGCAAGAGCTTCCACGCATTAATGCTAGTTTTGGTATATCCAAATAAACTTAAAGTATAGATAGAGAAAGTAATATCTACAACTTTAAAAATGTTAAATATCTCTCATTCGAGCTCGAAATTTGAGCTGAAGTCAACATTTGAACTTCAAACGGTTTTATATACCAAATACAGCTGATCGTACCGAAGATAATCTACAAATGTAAACAAAAAATTGATGTCTGGTGCAGCGGTCCAATACCAGCCATGTGGGCAATTACAGAATTGATTACAGTTGATCTTAATTGTTTAATTACATCTACAGATTTTATGTTATTATTTGCAGCTTGTACCCCTCCGTCAGAGAATATCGCCAATGTTAATATATTTCATTCCACACGCGTTTCTCGTGCATACAGTTGAATTAACTATTCGGGAAGAGGGCTATGATTTTTTGTGTACGAAAATAGGACTTATTGATGTAAGTAAATAAAAATAGAGGAACCAATACTTATTGTATATATGTCTATTTTTTAAAGCATGCAGTTTTCTAAATGGAGATTTTTTTAAATTCCTAGCATGCGTGCGTATGTTATATATATTACTGAGCTGTGTATGGTATACCCATATGAATTTGAAGAACGACACGATTCAGTTACATCTAATTCCAGTTTAAAGAGATACAGAATAATTGATAGTAGTTATCCAAAACATTGCTAACTAAACTAAACTAAAAAGAATTACTAAGCCATTATTCTAACATTCTAACAATCATATCATGAATACATCATTTTGTAAACTAGCCTACTTTTTTTGATAGATCACTATCAAAAGTTACTTGGAAGCTTTAGGTTGATGATGATAATGGTGAATCTCAGTGGCGGCGCGTGGTCATTTTGACAACCGGGGCAAGCTACTGCGGGACCAAGTCATCCCCATCTACGGGGACAGGATGAGCGCTGTAAGTTCTCCCATCATTTTATGAGTATAAAAACCATTCCATCGGTAACAACCAATCGGCAAAATCGACAATTTTTAACGATAAGAAAGTGTCTTTAAAACCAGTCCAAGTCAAGGGATTAATAAATATAGACATAATTTATTTTGAAACCTCTTTCAAAAGGAAAGGCAATATTTACCCAGATAAATACAATGACATATTAACAGAAACTTCGGGAAAGCAGACAAAACCTAAAATAAGGTTTAAAACGTTACTATGAAGAAAGGAAAGTTAATGCAAAGATAAGGACATGCGTCGCTCACTCATAGATTTATATGCGGCTAGACTTCTACTGCTTGAACATATATGCAACACGCCGCGATTTCTTGGAAGCGAAATGCTCAATAACGCGCTGATTAAAGTCATGCATCCCAGAAATAACGTCTCTGTGAATGGATAAAACAGCCAAAGAATTTAATCTATCTTGCTTCATTGTGTTTCTGAGATACGTTTTAACACGCTTCAGCGTGCTGAATGTTCGCTCTGCGTCGGCGGAAGAAATAGGCGTCGTCAAAATGATGTCCAGAAATTTTGCAGACGCCGCAAAGGTAGTTACTAGAGTGTTATCTATGAGGAACCCATAGAGCGCGCAAGTTGATGTGATGTTCAAAAAAGTTTGATTGGTGTATATACATCGCAATTCATTTTCCAATTTACCCACGTTTATCATGGGGTAAAATTTGGAGACAGTAGCCAACAAATGGATGGAAAATTGACGTGCAAATTTTGAAAAATTTTTGGGGTTCATCAAAGAGAACGCGGCAAGGTGTTCAGTGCGCAGACGATCGCCTATTTGATTCACTAGAATGTCACAGCATTCCTTTGCAGACAAAATCAAACGCTGCGTTGTTTGCCCGAGGCGTAAAGTAGCACTCCAAGTGTCGTCGTATTTTATTGTTTCTCGGATACGAGATACAGCATCGCAGAAGTCTGAAATACACGACTGCACAGCCGCTCCATCCATTAGCCTTGACTGCAATGCACCGTATAATACATCCGCGTGATAGAATATTGTGGAGAAAGCGAGAAAAAATGAAAACTCACCATCTTCTAGTAGACGCTTTAGACCTGCCGCGTCCCTCACAAAGCGTTCGTCCCAAACCGGAGAGCTCTGAATGCCATTGAAACGCTCAATGAGCTCAGACCTAATTTCGTCCACGCCCTGCACCACGCGTAATTGGAAGTTCCAACGTGTTGGTGCACAAGCTGGCAGACGGCGGCTACATATCTGGCGAAGGAGGTCAGAGCGCTTCGGCGAAACGGAAAAAAATGAAGAAAACCCCGAAACATTTGCAAAAAATATACGGACGAGAGGGGTATCAAGACACATATTTTTAATAACGAGGTTAAATTGGTGTGCATAACAATGTAAAAAATGCGCATGAGGAAAATCTTCTTTTATATAAACTGAACACCATGTTTCGACCCACTCAGTGGGTTTGAGCTATCAATTTTGACTTCGCGTTGTAAGGCTGTAACACTTCTTCCAGTACAGCCGATATCCCGCAAGCCGTGCGATCAACGATTGGTACAAAGCTGTGAAATCTCTCGGTAGGTTTACCATCTTTCACAAATCGAAAAATCACAGCCAGTTGGGAAACGCACGTGATGTCAGTTGTCTCGTCAGACTGAATCGAAAGGAACTGGCAATTCTCAATTTCCAGAGCCAAATGTTGTAAATAAATTTTATACATTGAGTCGAGCAAATCATTTTGGATATCCTTAGATGTCCCTTTCGAAACAGTTGCGGCATCAAGATGATCTCTCAATACTGTATCTAGGGATGCGGTGTATTCCACCATATCCAAAAATACCCCTTTATTAGAAGAGCCAGCCCGTTCATCGTGCCCACGGAGGGACAGCTCGTGACAACCAATGAACTTCAAAACATCTATCAATCGACCGAGAACATGGCGGTTTTTCTCGACGTTTTGGTTGTGCCGACGAATAGAAACCGCGCGTCCTTCATCCAACTGTGCTGCAATATTAACATTTCCGAATGTTCGGTATTTTACTGCATTGTCCAGATGCTCCATAGAAGATTGATGATCCCTGACACGCTCGGAAAGATGTTTAAGATCTCTAAAACCAAATTTGCACCAACGTGAGTCACAGGCGGTAGCAAAAAGTAGGCAATAAAAACAAAAAAGTGCATTTTTGTCCTAGCTGTAACACAACCATTCGTGTTTTTTATACCAAGTTTCTCCGCAGAATGTACGCCGACGCTTTCCTCCGTCATGGGATTGTTCCAGTGAACAATTTTTTGGTTGATAAGGCCCAAGACGTTGTACCTCTAATTTTTGTTCCAGCAGCAGCTGCGAAAACGGAGTGCGAAGTAGTGCATCAACCTTATTCATTATGAGGTCTAAGGCTAAGAAATGCGAAGGCGGAAAGAAGTGAGGAGCTCAAAAAGAATGTGGAAAATCGAAAGCAAATGGACTAAAGGTCTCTCAATTCAATTAAACTGATTCAAATAGCGAAACAAGCGACAAAAACGAAGGCGAGGAAACTATCAACTCTTCAAGCAACCAACGAACGAGAAGGAATGCGTGAATATGTCAACACGTTGTTGTAAGAAACGTCGGCATTGTGTCGTCATAATTTCGGGTCGGCCCCGATGATTTAGTAAAAAAAACAGAAAACAAACGAGACAAACGCGGCGAGTGGAAGATAAAAGAGAGAATACGATATACAATGAGCAACCGGGGCAAAATCGGCGTCGCCCCGTCGACGTTCGGCGAAGGCTTTGCGAGCAAAAAATGAACCATGTCGGGAGAATATGGCTAGTGTAGACAGTCTGTGCAACCGATATCGAAAAAACAACCGG